AGTAATTTTGATCAGAATGTATTCTCAATCTATAAATGCCTGTGTTATATTTTTTCATGGCTTTTTAACTCTTTGAGTCCCAGGGGGTTTAGCATCACAGGTCCAGGGGGGTAATAAAGAAAGTAATAAAATCGGTGCATCATGCGTTCACTGGGCTTCTAGGTAGGAACCTATGAACGTATGATGCGTTTCTTGGGACTCAGAGAGTTAACTGTAGATATACAAATTGCTTATGAGAAAAATGTTCTTGGCTTTTTGTTTTTGAGTTGAAAAAAAAATTTGATAAAGGATTATTAGAAATACAGATGCACTCAGTTTTGAAATTGCTTGACACCCCCTCCCCCTGCAGACCAAACTAAAGGTATACAGAGTGGCAATCTTCCAGTGATGCGCTGTTTGCTTGTGAAACATGGAGTGTATATAGTTACATGCAGAGAAACTCAACCACTTCTGTACAGTCTAAGAAAAATATTAAAAATCAAGGGATATGGGTCCCAGATACTGTCGTATTGGATAAAGCTGGCATTCCTACCATCAGAGATCAGTCACAGAGTTGATGGGCACGTCATTTCCTCTGCCTGCCAGACCATTGTCTGCCAAACAATCTTGTATGGTGAGACACAAGAAGGTAGACACTTTCATGATGTCAAGGGGAACAAACGCTTCAAGAAACGCTAAAGACAAGGCTTAGTCTTTATTGTTGACATTGACACTTAGAAGGCTGCTGCACAAGACCAGAATACATGTCCAAAGAGATGCAGCAACATACTATGCTTCAAGAAAAGGGGGCAGCTGAACAGAGCAGGCAGGCTAGGAAGACCCATATCACAGGCCCTTTGCTTACAACACTGTTTCCCGCTCTTGTTGTCCTAAATCATTTCGAGCCTGTATTGGGCTTACAAGTCACCTCCAGACTCACAGAACTCAACTGTGGTTTCATGATAAAAAACAAAGTGGGGCTCATCACTTGTAATGGACAGACAACTTTTTAGGATAATAGCTGGTAACTGTTTTAGTCTGAGTTGGCTTTATCAGTCATAAAGAAATGCCGTCTTGATGCAGATTTGAACTCAAGACCCTCAGGCCAGCAAAAAAGTATCTATCCACTTGGCCTCTGATCTGTTCTTACATTTCCTGAGAAATTTTAATGTCTATTTATTTAGAGACATCAGTGTGCAGGCCCAGTTTTCAGTGAACCAAAGTCGGCCAGAGGAAATCACTATGAGAGAGGATCTAGGATCTATTACCCTAATGGGTGATGACGGCTTTGGTAAGTTTTCTTGGTTGTGTGTTTATTTTTTATGGTTGTCAATATGTGAAAGACTTAACCTAGTTTCCCCGAGAGAGCTGTATTTCCATCCACGTACAGTGGTAGCTCAGTATAATACATCTTTAATCAATTCTGTATCCTTGGACATAATACCAAACACATTTTTCCATAAGAAAGAAAGGGAGGATGTTTAATCCGTTTGGAGAAAAACAGTGTTGTTGTTCTTGGCCTGTGATACTTTGATGTTGTATGAAATAATTTAATCCCTGTTTAATACACAAGCAGTTAAAGTGAATGAAAATGTAACTTCACTTTACCATCCCGAGAAGAGTCAAGTGCCTGCTAGGATCGTGCTTAGAAAGAAGCAGGAGGAGGTGTTTTTGTTTGGCCTGAGATTTTCCCTCCAGCAATACTTAATAAATCTGAAATTATAGTGTGATTTTTTTTTTTTCCTTCTCTTTTTCCCTACATGGACCTAATGAATGTTCAACATGTTTGATTGTGGTTAAACAATTTGAAAATCTGTCCAAAGAATGTTGCTTCTGCCGTCTCCTCAGGGTGTGTTGGAAATGTGACGTCTGGTGGTTCCAAACAGGGCTGGCTATTACAGCATGTCTGGACTTAGCTTAGATGGTACTTCTCTACAGTTCTTAACATCCATTTGGCAAACATTTTCTTGAATGAGAGAGGCAAACAAGGGTAGTACGCAGTGTTGTGACTCATTTTGATCTGCAAAGGTTCTAGATGCAAGTCATATTCCAAGCAAAGGTTGTATGCCAAGTTGAAAGTATACCCATGTGAATGTCTACCGAGGTGTCACTGTACTTGTGAACCATGACTAAAATAAAGAAAAGAAATTATTGTCAGCTACTTGGCGGCCGAGAGAAGCCTTGGTTTTTGTTCTGTCCTCTGTCTAGGTGTTCAGCCCCCTGGACACATAAAAACTGACCAAGACTCCAGATTTCTTCGCCTTCTTCTCTTCCCATAGTTTCAATGTAGAAATTCTGAGAAATATACAATTGCTATGTTTTTTTAAAACAAAATGTTGAGAGAAAAAAAAAGTTTGTTTAGTTTGATACATTGACATTCATGTTTTGAATCTATCAAGAGTGAGGTTAGTGTAAGGACATATCCCCTGACCTGTTGCCTTTTTCACATGGGTTGTAGCAAGGCTCTTCCCTTATCAGTCTCCTTAAACTGGTTGCCTGAAGCAAGGCTGTTCTTGTTGCCTTTTCCACATGGGCTGTAGCAAGGCTCTTCCCTTATCAGTCTCCTTAAACTGGTTGCCTGAAGCAAGGCTGTTCTTGTTGCCTTTTCCACATGGGCTGTAGCAAGGCTCTTCCCTTATCAGTCTCCTTAAACTGGTTGCCTGAAGCAAGGCTGTTCTTGTTGCCTTTTCCACATGGGCTGTAGCAAGGCTTTTCCCTTATGTCTCCTCAAACTGGTTGCCTGAAGCAAGGCTGTTCTTCAGCCATGAGTCTCCACAAACTAAAGATTATTATTGTTTGCATTTACCAGATGTGAACACCTGCAGAAGGTTTTGGTTGGTTGACCACTTCTTGACTTTCACCTGCAGATCTGGCTTTTTTGTATACAGACTGTTGGCTCCTTGCATCTCAAGCAGATGCAGTCTGACTTCGATGGAAGGTCAGAAGATTTAAAGCTGCTTGACTGGTGCAGTCACCACTTACTACTGGCTAGCAGTCTTATTTTTGCACCATATCTGGAAAAATTCATCACCTTAATAAGGTTATGAAACTGGGACTCCGGACGTAGAGCCTAGTGGTCTAATCAGTCAGCTAGAGGTACAGTCAGTGCATATTCCACGTACCATGCAGGTCATGGAAAAAGTCCCATTCCCATTCATTAGGGCCCCCCCCCCCAAAAGAAACCCAATACTGTAACCACCTGGCTCTATGAACTAATATGTAGGTTATTTTTCGACCACTTTAATTCTAGAGGTTTATCGCTTTTTTAATTAGCAGCCAGTGATATCTAAAAAAAACAGAAAAAAATAGAAATTAAAACTTGTGACAACTAAAAGAAAAAAGTGAGATAAAAGAAAGCACAAGAAGGTTCTTGCCACAGCATTTTAAATGTGGCATGGGAGGGCATCAGCACAGGACTGATACATGGGTTGGGGGTTGTATGTTGTGAGGAAAATACAAATAAGGCTCCCCTTTTATCTCCCATTGAAGCATAGGCCCTCAACCAACTCACGTCAAGTCATTCTATCCTTCACTATTACATGCAGCTTGCCCCATGTCCTGCCCATCTATTTAACTTTACGTTGTAGAACCCATCTCCATGTTTTTTATTGTGCCTGCCTTTATTTCTGTGCCCAGATGGTTCCAGTGCAAATATATTCTAAATAAATAGTTCTTTGTTCCTAGGTTTTTTCAAAAAGTGGTAAAATGTCTCACGTCCTATCCAACGCGAGCATATTTTCTTCACCTCTTGGTCCACTGAAACCAGTATTCACGGTCTCAGATAGTCCATCTATCCCTCACTTGCTTGGGCGGCCAATGAATCTTAAGTGAATGGGCTCTCAGTGGTGCACGGTCTTGTGGTAGACTTGATAAATCTGAACCGCTCTGATCTGAAGGCGACAGATTATAGATTTTTTCCCAGAAATTGGAGAGCATCTGCATAAATGGCAAGGGAGCTAGAGTCTTCATACAAATAAGCTGATCACTAAAGCAGATGTGCGTGCAAAGTTTACAGTTCTGAAACAAGACTAAAGTCCAGAGATGGAAGAAGAAGTAGAACATTTCCATCGGAGTTAACAGCTGATAAACACGAAGAGGAAGAAGAAATCCAGCTTATCTTGATGACATAGGCTGGTTGAGTTAGCTGTGGGCCCATGTTCAGTGGGCAAGTGAAAAGCTGGAGGAGAAGATTAGCCGCTATATTCTGTTCACCGCATGTTAGATGTCTTCTTCGCATTCACCGGCCATAAACTTCTGTGGAAAGTTCTGGTTGTTTGACCACTTCTGGACTTTGGTCTTGTTCCAGAACTTGTTTTGCACACTTTTGTTTTTGCACTCTGAAGAAAACATTACAAATTAGTTACTCCTAAAATTACTAACCATGGAAATGAGATGTCTGAGAAGGGCTGTAGGAGTGATCATAAGAGAAAAAGTCGGCACAGAACCAATTCTAAATTGCATACGAAGACAGCAAGTGAAATGGTTTGCCCACTTAGAGAGAATGCCTTGTGACACCATACCATACAAAGCGTAGAGCACGAGGTAGACCAAGAACAACATGGAAGGATAACATCAGAGAAACTCTACAACAGCATGATGTGCCTATGGTCGAGGCGGCCAGAAGAGCTAGAAACAGAACCTTTATATCTCCCTCGACACCCACAGCGGTAAAAGAGGAAGTGATGATAAAGAAGAAGTCACTCCTAAGACATGCTTATTGGGTTGGCAGCAAGTCACCCCCTCCCCCTCCCCACACAGGGAGTTGGGTGTCTGATAAAAAAAGTGAGAGTGAGCTTGATCAGAATGAGAGTGACCGGTTGAAATGGTTAGTTCAGGTGGTAGGTTGGAGATCAGAATAAATTTTCTGAGTTACTTTCTTTGAAAGTCAAAGGCAATATGAATAGAAGGGTTAAACTATTATTAGGTATAGTCATCGAACCTGAAATAAGGTGGGACACATGCTTGTGTTGTCCTCACAATGCCGGTTTGACCATAAAATGTTCACTTTTTCAACTTATCAGGTGCTTGGGAAGACGATTCTCTAGGCGATGCCGTAACTAATGAACATTTCTGTGTTATTATTTACGGAGAGAAAACAAATTTTACCGAGCGCCCTCTCACCGAGGATTACCTTTGTGAGCTGCTATCCAGGGCACTGACATTAAAATCACCCTACCTCAGCTGTTTAGTGTGTAAAATGTCGGCACAAGTGAAATGTGTATGTCCGGTGTATAAAACTTGTACAAATTTTGACAGTAAAATCTGTGATAGAAATATCCGCCTCGACAGCGGAGTTGAAGTGGACAATGTCTGTGATAACTTAAACCATATAGAACCGTTGACTCACCCTTGTTATAATTCCACGCCTTTCAAACGAAGCAGCAGCACAAAACTATACCAATGTGAAGATTCGCCTTGTTTCTCATCGCCGTCTAGCTCAGGGATATCATCATGTCAGTTCTCACCTCCGCCATTCAAGAGACGGTTGAGCTTCATTTTGACCTCACCTCCCTCAGGGAAAAGCAGCCTTCCATATGACTGTAACTGCTGTTTTAAGTTGCCGCCATGTGTTTGTCTTAGCTTACATCGTCCAGATGAATCAGTATTACATGCACCTCCTGCGCCTCCAAACCACCGCGATAGCGGCATAGGGTTGGATTCCGATGCCGGGTTTTACGACATGGAGTCTGACGAAGAGTTTAGTGAGCAGGACTCTGAAAGACATTGCCCCATGTGCCATAGACATAGGACTATGTGTTGTTCTTATAAACAAAATCACAGTGTAAAATGTAAAGAAATTTGCAACACCACTGGAGATAGCAGCTCTCTTGGGAATCTTCCTGGTGGGCCTGTCCATTTGGGCCACACTGGTGAGAAAAACTCTGTCACACCTGAAGAGATGGCACCATGTATCGGTGGTAAAAGTGATAGCCCATCTGATAAAGGGGATGATGGAAATGCTTGCTCGCCAAAGCCAAATGCTGGATTTGAGGACGTGCCTGCGTCAAAGGGTAAGAAATTAATTTTCTGTGGGGTCAAAGGTTTCACATTTTTGCTTAAGTTCTCGCTTGCACCTAGTAAAGTTTTTTTTTTTTTTTTTTTTTTTGATTCCGTAGACATATTAGTTAACAGATTCCAATTGGAGGTTGCCCAGTGTTGTTAATACACATATTCAGGAAAATGGGCCATTTTGCCCAAGCTACATTTTATTGTAGGAAAAAAAAAAATTTTTTTAGAATATTTTTTTAACACTGGAAATGAATTTTTATCTACTTAGAGACTTTGACCCCACAGAAAGTTGTTTTTCTTACTGTGAGTGACTAACTTTATTTTTTAAAATTGATTTATTACGGCTTAACGGTTTTATTTCCGTATGTTTTCATGGTAGAAGGCATGATGGTGTGACTCCAATTGGAATCCTGTTTTCTGTGGCCAGTTTATTGCATCGTCTGTTCCAGTTTTGTTTGGAGTCACCATGTGAAAGGCCACACCACCTTTTGCTGCTACCAGTTGCATGCTTGTGTCTTGTGACCTGGTCGTGGTTAATGGCAAGAAGAAACACATTATTGGAGGGGGAGGGAGGACAGTAATGTACAGAAGAAGAGAGAAAATGTCAACTCTTTGGTGCCATAGTGTGTGTTGCATGGAGGGAGAAATTGGGAAAGGAATAGAAATAAAGGAGAAAATGATTGCACCTTGAGAAAAGCATATTAGATGCAACAACAGAGGTTCTGAAATCCCTGACAGTAATTGTTAAAGGTTTTTCCTTATTCATCCAGGTCTTGCTAGTCACACTTGCCTTTGCCACAATACAGCACTTTGGTGGAAAGAAGAAAACGTAGCAGCAGTAACAACCAAGGAATGTATCACACATCGATTTATAACCTAACCAACTGTCCTATGGTGCCGAAAGAGTTCAGCCACACTGAGAAGAGTATTGTCCTCACAGATTCTGTAACAGGGTTTTTAATTGTGAGGCTTTTCATTAGGGCCTCTTGGGTAATTACTGTCACCCTCTGAACTAAGGTTAGATTTCAGTTATTGACAAAAGCATAGTCTGGTTACAGATAAGGTCCCTGTACTCAGAGCTCTTTCTCTAACAAATAAAATTTTTACGTGTGACTTACGTTTTATGTTTAAAAAAAATAGACTGCCTGTGCATTAAAAAAAAAAACCCCCAAAAAACCGAACTGTAAAAGAATGTCCTTATATCTGGGAAGGCACACATTGACAGAAACATTTTTCTCTCTCTCAAGCAATTCGTGCAGTCTGGAATTGTCTTCAGCTGTTCTGAAATGTCCCTACGGATGTCCATATTTAATACAGATGTGAAATTTGAGCTTGGGAAATGGTCAGAATGTGCAGACTAACTAGTACACTTTTTTTTCTTTAAACTGCTGCTGCTGTGGCATTTAGATAACACAGTACACACATCAGCATCTGTAACTTGTTATGAAAATGGTTTGTAGTTGTAAAATTACAAATTCCCGCTAAGTGTTAAAACAGTGGCAAACCAGTAAACATGGTAAAATCTCAAACTGCTCAGAAATGCTGGGGTTAGTTCTGCAACATCCTTTACAGGATATGGAGCTACCTTTTTTTTCTAATAATACATAAACATCTGTAAGGCTGAACATGGGATAATTAATGCTTTAGTTGGTACTTGCTCGAGGCATCATTTGTAATGTACATGTTGGGGACATAGCTTCAGTGATACCAGCGTTTTAGCTGCTTTCAGTCTCGTTATAGTTTAGAGGCACCTTGTCTTTTGGAGCGTTTATGCAAAAAGCTGGTCATTTGAAATAGAGAGACAATATTGTTAGTGTTTACTAAATGTTGCCTCTGCAGTTTTTGTGATGAATGTTGAAATCAGTTATTTGTTGGTACTACACCTGTCACCTGTGGGTAATTTTCACCCAGTTGCATATGTGCTAGACATACCTTCCGGGCTGCTGCCTGAAAAGTTTGACACTGCGATCAGGTAATTCTCAGTTTAGTTGGCAGACTAACTTAAACTAAAGGTTTGACACCATGGTGCTGATGTCAGATCCGTTCATCTCTCTCTCTGTGTTCACTGGTTTGATTTTTGTTGTTGTTGAAGAGATCTGTGCTTAGACCTGATTTTTACAGAATAATTTAGCAATCATATTATAAATGCAAAGAAAGTTCAGTTGTGTTGCGGACTAATTTTTTTTTTTTTGGGGGGGGGGGGGGGTCCCCCCACATGTGTCGCTGTCACGTAGAAGGGACATTAAAAAATATTGATGTTAAATTAAGTGCCATTTTAAATTATGTGACAGAAATCTTATACCTCTACTTTCTCATAGCTGTTTTGTGTTCTTTTTGTCTGTGTTCGGTTTCGAATGCTCAGATCAGACCATCAGGTGGGTTGCCTCTATGAACTCGCATGTCAGCTGCAGGTCCTGCATGGTTCCCTATAGCTTGCTCTGCCCACTTTGCTCTTGAGGCCAGGTGTCTTTTCAAAGTTGCAGGTAGAGTGGGCAGAATATGCTACGGTGTTTAGGGCTCTGTTTGACACAGTTTTGTGTTCAGATATTAACTGAATGACAGTGTACAGTTATTCATTGCCAAAACATTCTGATGCCTGTCAAGAGCCCTATGCCTTGTGTATTGTCCATACTTTCCAGGCCAGACTGCCCCACACCCTTGCTCTGCTGTTTCTTTTTACTTCCAGCTTCCCTTTTGTCACACTATTCCAGCTTTCCCCTTCTCATACCTTGTCTGAAGAATGTAGATTATCTTCTGAATAAAATTTCTTGTGCAAGAAATATTTTTTTGATAAATACTGGCATTAAAAAAATTAATTATCAATGTCCATTATTATTATCCATTTAAAAACTTTGTTGTCTGAGAGGAAAGACAACGGAAACTGAGGGAGTTGTTCACTCTAGCTCATATGTCATGTCTTAAAATGTGTGGAGGCCTAGCACAATGTCTGTGAAGCTACCTTTACCTTTGGGAGTCGCCATGGTGTAGTGGCTAGATGCTCAACAGCGGGACCACGGGTCGTGGGTTCAGGCTCCTGACAGCCGAAACTTTAAAAAATCACCTTGTTCCCCCAGGTCGACCCAGTCTTAAAAGGGTACCTGGTTGGTTTCAGTCCTGGGAACTAAATGCAACTGGCATTTTGTTGATCGTATCACCTACCGAGTGTAGATTTTTCTGTTAAATATAGGTCGTCTTTTATGCCCAGTACGCCATGTGTCCTTCACTTATCTTAACCTTCAAAAACATGCACCTGACATTTTGGTAGAGAATACTTTATATACCTTACAACTGCAAGATACTAAAGAACTAGGGTGAGACGATTGAGGTGGTTCTTCTGCTAATGTCTGTGGTCTCCATTCTTAGTATTACATGGGTTATTGTAAGTTCTGTTACTGGACTTTTAAAATAAATTCATCATCATATGCCTTTCAGGTGATGTGGGTGCTCATCATCTCCACAGATCAGATCTCGGTCCTTGTTATCTTGAATCCCTGTTAATTCCACTGATGATCTTCCTCTTTGCCATCACTTCAGTAAAGCATTGTCTCTCTTGGTCCATCCATGCCTCTTCTGCCATTGATCATTCGGGTCATCACGATTTTATCAGTGTCTCTTTCATCACATGGTCACAGAACACTGTCACCAGGCGGTTGTAAGTCACTCTGGTATCTACAGCGTGCATCCCAGAAACTACATCCCCACAGCCTCCACAGTTCCTAATTAATTCTGCTGAGCTGGCAGGCAGGCGGGCATGCTATCAGCTGTGCTTACTTCTGCCCCTTCAGCATTCCTGGCTCTAAGGGCCATTGCTGCATCTTTTCAGTTAGTGATTGGTCTGCCTGTGTATTATCTCACCACCTTTTTGAACTTTTTTTTTTTTTTTTGCCCCAGCTTTTGTCTCTACTGTGTACCATTATTTCTGTATGTCCCAACCATTATAGTCTGTTAGCCCTCGGTAATTACTGCTGATTTGAACAGATTATAGATTTCCTTGGTGCCCCCTCCCCCTTTTTTTCCCCTCATTCTGCTGTTATTGTGCCTGCAGGGATTGTAATTTCATCTACTATTTATGTTGATGAATACAGTCACCTAGTTTTGAAAATTATGTATTACATAGATTTCTAAGTAAAAAAAATTAACATAGATTCTGGGACCCTATTTAGTTTGGAGAAATCGACCAACAGCTCTTTAATGAGTCTGTTGTAATAGGCTGCCAACTAAGGATTCGCTGAAGTTTGATGTGAAAGACCAAAAGGCATAGATATTGCAGCCTACCTGTGAACCCCAACACAGTGCCAACTGCCTATTTAAGGGCAGTACGGAAGTCAGAAAGAAGTGTCTAAAAATAACAGCATATCATATTTTTAAAAAATAATTTCACGAATGATTCTTTGATTGATGTTAATCTAGCCTACCACTATTCGTTTGTCCCTAGGCGATGTTGGCTTTGATGAACGGGAGATCCTTCACGACGATGGCCATCTAGATGATGCCCTGTACAAATCCACAGAACTGGATGTCCCCAAAGATGATGAGCGAGCCCATTCTCCCATTGACAAGGAGAAGCCCATGGATATTGACCTGCCACCCCCTGTTGTCGGCGATGGTTTTGGTGATGGCTTTATGGGTGAGCTGATGTTTGTGTTGTTTTATGCATTTCTCTTTGGAAGTTTTTTGTTCTGCTGTTGTTGCTTCTTCTTTGTGTTCAGTGGCGGGAGAATTATTGCTAATTAGTGCAATGTGTGACATGCTTGTAAGAATGGCAGTTATTTTACCCCCCATTCCACCCCATAGGGCCCTGTGACCCACATGAGGACTGCTTTTCAATGCAGTAGCAAACTACCATCTTCAAGGTGCCAGGAATGATCATGATTTTACGACTGTCACGTATGTAAACGGACCTGCTCCCACAAAAACCTGTTGCTTTATGTGAGATAGTCAAACATAATAGTGTACGCCATATCAGCACAACACATGATGGTGCTTTTTAATTCAGTCCGCCCTATACTTTACCAGTTTGATACCCGCAGCTGATATTTTAGAAAGAAAAACCCACCTTTCTCGTGGCTTCAAGAAATTAGAAGGGGGAGGGGAGGTGCACTGCGGATAGCTTCCATTATGGAGGTGGTGCAAAGTTGAATAGTTAATTGCCGGGCAAAAGATGGGATGGTTTGGCTCTCTGGGATGCCCTGGTAACAGCTGCCCACGGGTTCCTGTCCCTTTTACATGCATCCTTACATCGCATTTGGTGTCTTCCTGTTGGATTCTCCCCGTGCTTGGTTTACCATAAAACAAGGTCTTTGAGAATATATATCCCCCCCTTCAGGATACTTGGCTGAGCCACTAGCTGAAATATACTGATGACAGCATAAGCACTGCACATCTCACCACATATTTTTTAGATTAACCACACTGCATACATAATTTTGTATTATTCATCCTATTTCAACTGCTTTCACAAATTTGAAAATGTGCTTGTCCTGCGTGTAATACATAACCCATAATAATAAATATATTGGGCAATGAATTGTTTGGCCTTATTATTCAAATTCAAAACAGATAATTATTTTTTATATTACCGTTCGAAGAGTTTATTCGTTGTTAAACACAAGTTTGATATTTATTTTTTGTTTAAAGTGTTGAAGTTTACTTGTTTGCCTTTCAGGCATTTGGTGTTAAAGCATTCAGGTTTTGCCATTTGCATTTTGTTTGATCTGACTGTAGATGCTGATGATGTTTGTGATGAGGATAACGATGATAACTTTGGGGACATCGACCAGGACTTTTTTGGTAAGGCTTGCTGAATAGTTGATCAAAGATGCAATTTTACATTCTGCAGCTGTTTTATGACATTTATTTTTTAGTAGTAGTTTATAGAAGATGCCTGTAAATTCTGCTGTTAGTGAGATTTGGCTGTTTAGGAAAGTTGCTTTAGAAACATTAAATTCTAAATCTAGTTTGTAAGATTTATATTAGTTTTAGAACCTGTCTGTTATTCTGCAGCTGTTAGTGAGATTAATGTAATGAATAGTTTTAGAAAGACGCTTGTAAATTCTGAGGAAAGTTTTAATTTTGCACACATACCGAATACAGTTGAATAGGTATTAAAAATATCCAACTTTGTATATTTTAGTTTTATACTTAAGTGGTGTTTGTGAAGCAATTGTAGATGGTTTCAGTGTCAGTTATCTGTACTGTCTTATTTCTCACAGGTCAAAATTTTATGGGAACTGGTGGATTATTTGAAGATACTCCCGCCGTGTCTGGAATAGCAGCACCTCAGGATGCATCAGAAGCTGCCTCTGCATCACCCAAACAAGGTATAATTATTGTATGTCCAGAGTGATTAAAGGAAATGAACAGAAATGGGAATTCACTGTGGTATAACAATCTTTCAGTGCACTGCCGCAAGCTTGTCACTCATATCTTATTTCAGCAATTAGTTTTTCAAAGTTTGCTTTCTCCGCTCTTTAACTATTTCTGTTCTCTAAAAATGACATTGGTATCTTTGTCTTCTAAGGCTTGACATGTCTGTCATAGGAGGCCATAACATTTGCTAGGCTAATATTTGCATCACTCTTGGGTCATGAGAACTCACAAGTCCCTCGTCTGCATCAGGGTGGAGATATATTGGTGCTTATATTAAAACCTGGCCAGTTAACAAGAAATTAGTCAATTTGTAAAATACCTTTGTAAACATGAAAAGATAGTAAATGCAATGACTATATCTACTGGCCTCTCCAGTATGACACTACAAGGCGTATTAGATTAAGGGTAGACCAAGAAAAACCTGGATACAAAATTTGGCTGAATGGGGGAACTGCAGATATAAATAATAGTCTATTGCATCTGACTGATACAGGTTTAGAGAACTGATTAGTCAACAGTAACTCAAAACTACTGACTGCAAGACTTATTATTTTCATTTGTTGTTATGCACACTATTGTTGCATGATTTGGTTGTTTTTGCTTTGTTTCAAGGAGAGTCAGAGAAGAAATCATCTGGAGTTGAGGCTGACAATGAGGATACTATGCCTTCTTTCGCAGCAGCAGCAGCAGCTGGAGTCTCTGCTGTGTCCAGCACCCTGGGTGAACAGACAACCCTGGTGCACAACGAGGAAGAGGCATTTGCTCTAGAACCTCTTGACATCACTACCGTTCCTGGTAAGTTGGCTCGATTTACCATAGACCAAAGCTTTCCATACTTTATTGGTGCGCCCCTTCCACCCCCTTTTTTTTAAAAGCAACCATAATTTTACTGATTTAAGAGTCGACATTAAAGTACACTGAACATACCCATAGGTGCTTCATCTCCCACAGCAAATGTCTTTAGATGTAAAGGTAAAGTCAGGAGATGTGAACCAGCGTCATTGCACAGTTATAAACCATAAATGCTCTGCCACCGCCGTCTGCACATAACTGTGTAGCTACATTTACCCCCATAGTGTTTACTCTGGTACCCATTTCCTAAAGGCTGGGTGAACCCTGAGAGCCGCCCAGCTGCAGCTAGATTTAAAAGCGAACCTCGTATCGACAAAGCTAACGCAGCTCAAAGATGCTCTTAAGAAGTGGATGCTAGCTGTTCCCATAGCACACTGATTATAAAATCATTCTCATCCTCTCAAATGTCCTTCCTTTTCCATTGCACACCTGATTCCTTGTTCACACATTCTTACACATATTTCATCTAACCTCGTATCTTCTGTCAGCATAATTTTACAATACGGTCTACTAGCAAACCAGGAGTTTTAACTTCTTGTTTCTTCTTTTCTCATCTCACTGATACCAAGCTTTGTTTCTTCTTTTCTCATCTCACTGATACCAAGCTATAGACCAGTATCGTGGTTTCTGTTTTTGACTTGCGCTTCTTGGTATGGATTTGTTCATCTTTTTGCAGGTTTCAGCCACACTCTTGGTCTTCCCCTTGCCTTACTCCCAGATGTTCTGCTGTTAAAGATCCCAAATATAGTTTGGTCTGGCTGCACTACACCAGATGGCCAAACAATTTCATTCTCTGTCAGTGTAATTCAAGCACAGTTTTATTCCAATTTTTCTTTAATGCTGGGCAATGGTAACCCTGTCCTATCTCAAGTTATAACTAACTCCTGAAAAGATATATGGGTGTTGACATAAACACTTGCGACCCACCTTTACACTGCATCCAACACTCTAAAGTGTCGTAACACACAGTTTGGGAAGCTCTGCCATAGACGTTAGTCCTTACATGCTAAGTTATTCAATGTGAAGATTGTTTTTTCTTCTAATGTGTCTGTAGTCTGCCGTGTGACATTGGTTATCATTGCTGGCCACAACAGTTTGTCTTGGTACCACATATTTCAGATAGTGACATTGTCTGCTTCCTTGACTTTATGGGTTACAGTGAAAAGACATTCTGATATTTTTTTTGGGTCTTCTTTTGTCATCTTTCTAAAACCAGGTTGCAGCCCAGTGTCGTGGTTTTCTGTATTTGTCTTTTGCTTCTTGGGTGGCTTGTGTGGTGGATTTATCTTTTTTGTGGTGTGGGTTTCAGCTACATCATTTATCCTTCTCTTTCTTGGTCTTCTTCTCGCCTTCCTCACAGATGTTCTGTTGTAAAAAGCTGTTGTAAAAAGTCTCACATACTCTGGTCTGGCTGCATTCTCACTAGATGGCCGAACCATTTCATTCTTTGTCTGTCAATATAAACCAGACATGGTCTTATTTTAACTTTTATAATAGTTCAGTGTTTCATATGTAGTACCGTTTTGCTGGGTGTTAGTATGACTAGGTAGGGTATCTTTTTAGGTGTCTATGCTAAGTCATGTGGTGAACAGTAGATAAATGATATACCTACTCATTCTGTATTATCTTATCACTATTATCTTTTTTGATCTCTGATAACACATTTTCTCCTATATCTCCAAAACTCTTCTTTCACACTATTCACTTGAAGGAAATCACCGGAGGACACTCTTACGGCCTGCTTGATAGTGTTAATCATCTTTTCTTCATTTTCACTCTCCAGTAACAGATGATAAAATATTTAAGGCTGTCATGTTTTCAGGGTGTTTATATATTTTGGTTTATGTATTTTCCAGGCACAGAAAGGAAAGGTAAAAGGAAGAGAAAGCTGATTGTTGATGAGCAGAAAGGAATACCCAGTGAGACGATGAAACTGCAGTTGTCAGACACCTCCGACATTGTAAGCTCGCTGGACCTGGCCCCACCAACCAAGAAGCTGATGCTGTGGAAGGAGACCGGAGGGGTGGAGAAGATAGTTATGCTGCCGGGAAGGCCAATCAACTCCAAGGTCACATCTAAGGTTTGTTTTGACCCTCGTGTTTCAACCTTAGGAGGTGTGTGTGTTTTTTTCCCACCACGTAGGGATTGGAACTGCACTGGTGGTTTGGACTTGGAAAATTCAAGATGTAATAAAATTTAATGTGATTGCCAACCATGTGTCTCTACAGTATGCAGTTGCAGCCAGTACCAATGCTGTTGTTTAGGAATGCTAGGCACTGTCCAAAACCTGTAAAAGCTTGTGGGGAGAGAGTTGAGATTTATAGGACAAGGGAGTCTTGAGCCTAAACTGTAGATTTAGGGCAGCATGATTTAGGCCACAGACTGCAGATTATATTTATTTTTGCCTTCTGATAGGATAAAACTTTCTTCAGCTCACTGAGTATTTGAACTTACGGCTTCCACATGAGAGCAGATGTTCTGCCCTTTCAGTCATCTCTCCTAGAGGAAAGAAGTGAATTGCAAAAGATAAATCAGGCAACAGAAATCTTTAAGCAGACCAGACTTAGATTTGTTGATCGGGGGGGGGGGGGAAATAGGCTTGGAGATAAAAGTCATGCTTGAAGAAACTAATTTGGCACCAGGCAGATTTCTTCTTCTTTTTCTTCGCATTCACCGGCTGTAAACTCCAGTGGAAAGTTCTGGGTCTTTGTCCACCTCCGGATTTTGGTCTTGCTCCAGAACCTGAGTGTTATATGCACATATGTGTCACAGATCTGGCTTTGTATGCAGACTTTTAGTTACATGCCTCTCAGGCAGATGTACTCCGACTTTAATGTCCCTAGTTAGTCGACTTCTATGACATGATTGTTAAAGAGGTAGCAGAACTACCCCCACAATAGGAGCCCCAGAACCCACATGGGGAACCAGGCAAATTTGAGTCCACAGATGAGCGTCTAGCAGCTGCCCCACAGTGGCTCCCTCGTTGCTCAGACCTGTACCTGTAAGTAAATTTGACCCCACCAGGACATAACACAAAGCGATAAACACTCAGTGACACAATGTGTCACCATGCGGATAAGCATCACCCGTGGAGAGGTCCGGAAAATTGTTTATCAGTTAGGGTATAGTACGGCACCCTGCAACAGGCATCCCACATTGGGACAGCTTGTATATAATTTTTCTTGCTAATGTTGAATGAAAAATTTTATATTTTCAAGGCACACTGTACAGACAGAATATTTTTTTTTCCCCTGTTCTGAATGATAAGTGTTGGCCTTATTCCAAAGTACCATTCTGTCCAGACCTTTTCACACTTCTGCCATGTCCACTTGCTCCTAGTGATGCAGCGCCAGCTTTTCTGCCTATTTATTTCCCGACACACCTACATTTTTCAACCTTTCGGTAATATTAAAGTGCAAACATCTTGATTTTCTTCAGTCATATCCATGTATTATATCTTGTTTCTTCACTTCCTGTTTTACTGTTTCAGGTGTCGAGGGAGATATAAGATTCTGCTTCCTTCTCTTCTAGTTGTTGCAAAAATGTCTTTTTTAATTTTTTTTTATTAACTACCTGACTGAATACCTTAGTGTCCTTACTTTTAAGAAAATCATTTTGTGGACCTTTTTCTTCACTGCTTTCCTTTGTTAGTGCTCACCTGTGGACAGTTGTTGTTTATCACTTCTGAAATTTAACATGTACATCAATTTTACAGATCCATAACAATCTTGTTAGGGGGTCAGTGGGTCTATTCTGCCACACCCCTCCATGGGGCCCATTCTGCCACACCCCCAATAGGGCCCATCAACCCAGACTGGAAGAGTAACTGAATGTCAATGCAGAATGTCTGGCTACATTTTGTATGTAATTTGTTTGCCTTGCTGATTTTGTTTTGTTTCTTTTCCCTCCCAGTTTTTCACAAGGAATTTGATATGCAGGCCAGTGTCGGATGACTATGAACCAGGCACTTCTACAATAGATCTGGACATGGCACCCGAGGCTGCAAGAGAAAACGAGCGCAACAGTACTTTGATGGATGCGACCCGACAGTCCGAAATGAGCACAATTATGGAGGAGCCGTCCAACGTGGCTGAAACATCCAGGCGATCAAACGCCTCCTCTGTGAACAGAGATTTAGCAGACGTTACGTTGAGGTCAGTTAATGTTAAAGCTTCCACTCTAGACTGTTTCTGCTTCCGCTGCTTTAGGCTCTTGTAGCCCGTCTCTCTAGCAAAGTTGGCTAAATCGGATTGCGCGGTGAGCGGGTGACAAACTCCTTGTGGTCCGTGTTCGCTCCCAGGTGTGGGCAGAAAAGCCACATTTTCTCCCAGATTTACGGTATTTAAAATGGAATCAAGGCGATATCCATAATAATGGCTTCTGGATACTAAAACAAATTAGGCTCTTGTACTTGCTCACCCAGCTGTACAAATATGTGTGCATAATCAGACACCTACCACCTCCATGGGGAAGTTTGGCTGCAGTTCATGACCAACACTCTCTGGCTGCTCTCCATCTGTCATTTTATTCTTCTCCCCCTACTTGTATCACTGTCTATCCTTTACCTTAAACTTGTCCCTCTATTATGGTTTAAATGTGGTCGAAAAATGTCTAGTTGTCTCTGTATTTCTTTCGTTGTCTAATTTTGCAACATGTTAATTTAAACTAGCCTTTTTTTTTAAAGAGATGTGGACACTTACATAAATTAACGCTCCTTGTTCGCACAAGACACCTTCATACTGCAGCCGTTTGGAAAGAAATTATCCAGGCTTTAGCACCACACAGTAGGATGTTTGTGCATATTTTTCTTTTGAAACGTTTTGTGATGTTGACCCTTTTGCACCGAGTAGCTGAAAACTTGACACTTCTTGTTGTGTCCAATGTAGCGCAAATGTCATTTTTCCAACTGTACAGTGACCTGTTTACGAGAAGCATAGTTAATGATGTTAGCCGAGTTTGAGCCTGTGCAAATGTTTATAAGGCCAGGATATGGATACATGAAATAAATTTTAAAGGGTGTTTTTCTTTGAGCCAAGTGGCTGTTGCTAAAGGCAAATTGACGCCACATTTTCTACTGAGCCTCACTGATAGAGGTCACAGCATGAATCACCCGATACATGTTGTTAGGCTCCGGGGGATGTATTTCATCTAATGTGTTGCCCTGTACTTTTTGATTAGTCCTTTTATTTATCTTTATACATTTTGAAAAATAATTTATAAGTGTAGATAAATACATTTGTCATGAATTCATTAGTGGCCTGTGTAAAACCTTTAGGTTTTTGTGTGTGGATTTTTAACCTCTGGAATTCTACCAAGTGTTCCCAGGGTTAAAAGATAAAACAGTGTAGTGAATGTTTTATTTGTACCGTCCACAGATCTGAGCAAATTTCCCTCCTGGAGCCATCAATACCCAACAACCAGTCACTGTTTGACCAGATGCCGGACAACATCCCCATGCAACCAACAGAGGTGCCCCCTCCGGAACCCGCAGACATTGTCCCCGCCATGAACCCCTTGCTGGATGACGGCCCTGCATCAGTGGCTCCTTTCTCTGTGGCACCACCATCTGTAGCACCTTTGTCTGTGCCCCCAGCAATGGTAACATTTCCTATCATATATTTAATCACTTTTTCACCTAGGACACTTCACCTAAATAATAATCATCATCATAGTTTTGCTGTTTATATAGATCACATTGTGTTGGCAGTCTGTTCATCGGTTCTATGTCAGTTTTCTTCTGTAACATGATGGAATCACCCGTGTGGGTTCTGGGATCGGGGAGGGGAGGGGGGGGGTGTAAAATCCACTGCCTTGTAAGAAAACATAGTAAAGATCAACTAATTACTTTTTCCTTCAGAGTTAGAGTGCATCTGCCTGAGAGGCAAGGAACCAAAGTCTGCATACAGATACTGTCAGATTTGTAAAACGGATTTGCATGCAAAACTCAAGCTCTGCTACAAGACTAAAAGTCCAAAAGTGGACAAGCAGCTAGAATTTGTCACTAGAGTTCTACAGCTGGTGAACACCTGAATGGAATCCAGTCCCACACCTTTGGTCCTTCTCATTTGTTTCCCATTTCATTGCATATTTAATAATTTATGTTTAACGAGCATAGATGTTGCCATTTTCTTTGCCTTATTAACTGTTAATATCAGCAGTGGTGGTTCAAACATTGCTCTACTTGACTTCATTCCATTAAACTTTCATTTCCTGAGGTATTTGTTTTAAGCCTCCTTTAACTCTCATTCCATGTCTGTTTAGTGTTTCTGGTTCCCCAAATGTTCCTTACACTGTGATGATAAATGCTGTGGCTTGCAGGCCAAATTTGGCCCGCATAGACCTAGTAAGTGGTCCGCAAAACATTGCCAGTTGTGTTAATGCTCTTTCTACGCTGGTGCTCAGGCCTCCAACGATCCCTATATTCAGCATTTTGGCTTTCTGAGTAAACTTTGTTGAACATTTGTTATCTACACTGTTCCATTGTATAAACTGGAAGAGCATGATTGATGGACTTGGTAAATACTAGGTCAGGTTACCTGCAATGTGCTCATGTTAGTTTTAATTACTGACAGTTAAACACAATTGCAAGAAATGGACATAATTGTTAACAGAAAGTCAAGACAAGGTCTTAGTTTGAAAAACAGAAGTAATGGTTATCAAGATTGAGTTAACTTCTCAGACTACATGCAGCTGCTGATTGAACCCAGGCCAGTGGGATTTCAAGCCACTGAGCTACCCACTGCTGTGTGACCTCAGATTGACCATTCTTAAACATCTGGAACTTCTGTTTGTCCCATCATTTCATCAGTCATTTTCTGGTTGTTTAGAAAGAATTTTAACAACTTCAAGCTGTCAGAAACATAGTATGTGTTTTTATAGTAGAAGTTCTATCGTAGTTAATTTATGAAGTTTCATTCTATCACAATAGCTTGAAGTTGTGGATCTTGCAAATGGTCACTTTTGTAGAGGGACTCTCTCGCTGTTGTATTCAGTTGTCTTTTACAATAGCTGTCTCCTAATGCGCCTGTTTTTATTTCTGTTTCCCCGATTTTCAGACATTCGATGACCTTGAACAAGAGCTGGAAGCCGAGCAGATGCCAGAGAACGCCGAACAGGAAGAGAAACGGTGGAGCAAGCGCACACAGCAGATGCAGCACATTTTCGAACAGGCCTTCACCTTCTCGGACACACTCAGCTTCAAGGAGATGGCACGCAACCACAACCGCAAGCAGGCAGCATCCAGATTCTACACTCTGCTAGTCTTGAAGAAGCACCAGGCAGTCAATACAGAACAGAACGAGCCTTACGGGGACATTCTCATCACTAAGGGGCCCAACTTTGGTGCTGCTTGTTGATTGATTGGTACCGTTCTGTCGTGTGTTTTGTCCGTTTGTCTGAAGTTTGAGACACTGGAGTGCTGTCAGAATGTTGACTTTTACAGGCTGACATTGAAACTGGTGGTTGTTGGGGGGGGGGGGGGGGGGGGGGGGATGGGATCTTCTTCCTTGTACTTTAACACATCATACGCAATTAATCTCTGTGTACACTTTCAGACATCAACCTGGATATATTTACCGAAAGCTGCATTCAACCTTAAGTTGTTTACATTTCTGTAGTTTGTAATAGGCCAGAAAGCTTTTGTGTTCTGGTTGCTTTGAATGCATGTAGCGAATACTTAGTTGTAATTTTAACAATTTTACAGATGCATTTATTAGTATCTCCCATCCTTTGCCTACTAAATTTGATGAAGCTTATGTCACTTTATCAAGCTTCATGGCAGCTTTAAAGTGTTAGAAGGCTTGACAGCAGGAAAGAAGGGCAGCAGCCGACCAGGATGAAAATGGACATAAGTGGATACAAGTGACACCTTTGGTAGGAAAGCGCATGAGGCAGAAGTGCTACTAAGAGAGTTTCTTTCAGGCAGACTTTGATGAGAGCATCGTTCTGCACAGGACTTGCTGCATGATGATGGTGCTTGAGGTCAGTATTACAGCTGTGCAGTGAAATGAGCCACATCTAGAAAAGTTGACTGGTTAAAAGAAGACATTGTAAGCCATCCGCCCAACGTTAGAAACCTCAGGTTTATTAACATAAGTTTGCTCTTCATCATCGTATCATTACTGCGCAACCCCTCCAGTTATATCTTCGACTTTGCCAGAGTAGAATTATGCTTATGATGGTTTTGTTTGCAACTGTAAATTGTGTTTGTCAGAAATTACATGTTGGTCCTTTTTAAAACATATTTTGTCTTTTTTCTCTATACATAACTTATTAAACTTTCTTAAATCATGTTTTTTTTTTTTGTAACATAAAGAAAAAAATTAATTAGTGTCCTTTTATATTAAGTCAAATATGTATCTTCTTTTTTTAAATTTAAACATTTGGCCTTGCATTAGAATCTGAATGTATGTCATGTACAGGTTTTATTATTTGGTATTTTACTATGTTATTCACTGTCTAGACTGCAAGAGGGAAACTGGTTGCAAAACAGATTGTTAATCTGGCAACTTTACTGTATAGAGGCGACAGGGTTGCGCCCCCCCCCCCCCCCTTTTTTTTTTCCTTCAATATATAGCAAGACAACAAATGAAGTGGTTTAGATATCTTGTGAGGAGACTGGTAATACTTAGTACAAGAGGCTCTGCAGTAAATTCGGGAGAAGAATCTGAAAGTTCCAGTCAGTTTCAGAAATCATGCCCAACTTAAAAAAAAAATTGGAAACTGTAATCATTTAGAGTAAGTTGTTCAAATCTGGCACGTAAACTTTAATAATTGTGTCCTTGTAAATGTTTTTTTTTTTTTTTTTTTTTTATTGTAGACAAACTAGATTTTGTGTTATGGTCTATGAATAAACAGATACTGATACAAAGCAATCAGCATGCTTAGTTAAATAGGTAACAGGTCTTTTCTAAAATATCAGATTGTCCTAATTTCATAAGCTTTCACTCTCAAGTGTCGTCCTCAGCATCAGTCTCCTGTGAGTTGTGGATTTTTCATTGTATGCGGGATATGCTATCAAAACAATCACCACAAATCGCTACACATATGAACTTATTCCTTAAGTCTTCACCTGTGTTAATTATTGTATATTCTATATTTAGAACACACATTATTACCCAAACAAAGATCAACATTTGCCACTTTAAGAAACAGCAGCTTGTGTAATTATAAAATCATAAAAGTCATCAGAAATTTAAGGCCACCTGCACAAGTTTTCTGGATTTGTTCAGAAGTTTCATAAACATTTGTTGAAGTGTGAGGGCACAACTTTTGGAACACACTAGAGTTTTCCTTAATGTGGCAGTGTATCTGACTCGGAGCAAGGGGCCGTCTGCATACAAATGACCCAGATCTGTATAATGAGCGTACATGCAAAACTTGAAACTTTCTGGAACAAGAATAAAGTCCAGAAGTGGCCGAAAACCAGAACTTTCCAGTGGAGTTTACAGCCAGTGAATATGAAGAGGTTATGGGTCTGGTCTGTTCATTGATTTCTTCCACACTTAAAAAAAAAGGCGTTAATCTAAATATGACACAGTTCAATGCTTAAATCAAAATGTATATGATAAAAGAACTGTTCGATTTATCAAGAAGTCTACATGGCACTCTGTAAATGCATTTTTTAGACTGCCTCAAGGTCTTTAAGTCGAAATAAATGTCCTTTATAGGCCTTTGGTGCATAGGACATATGGTGCTTCAGTGTTTCCGCGAAAAAAGCCTGGGTCTTTTATTCATTTCGCTTAAAGATGTTTTTATGTCCATGTGTACTTTAAAATCTGCATTTATTCATGTACAAAATTCTTCTTGTTCCAGTAGTCATTCACCTTCACAAGCATCAAGAAGTTGCTATCAAAATTCTCCTTGTTCCAATAGTCATTCACCTTCACAAGCATTAAGAAATTGCTATCAAAATTCTTCTTGTTCCAATAGTCATTCACCTTCACAAGCATTAAGAAATTGCTATCAAAATTCTTCTTGTTCCAATAGTCATTCACCTTCACAAGCATCAAGAAATTGCTATCAAAATTCTCCTTGAATACCTTGCATTATGAACCATATCTGTCAAGTGCTCACCAGTGGCCTCTGTACTCCGACTGGATATTTGTCAACAATTCTGATTCTAAGTTTTTCTTTTGTGTGGTTGATCTTATTTTCAGGGGGAAACTCGATAGACAATGTGGTCAATATTACACGGACCGCCTTTATTTCCTAGAACATTACCAAGCCAAGCATTCTTCAAGGATTTCTTTGGTTTCATGTAACTCCTTCCGTCCTAGGGAGTTAAGCATCAGAGGGCCAAAAGGTAGTACAAAAAAACATAATCGGTGTATCTTGTGTTCATTAAGCTTCTAGGTAGGAACATATGATGCATTCCTTGGGGCTGAAAGAGTTGAGGTGCTGGGTGTGGGATCAGCCAATGTTTTAATAATTTTTGTAGTAGTTTACTGATGTGTTGCATGGAAAGTGTTTTGCTGTTAGACATTGAATCTAAGAATGTTAACTTTCAGATTAGTGAGGGCTTTCCCGTGTGGGTTCCGGGGCCCCATTCTGAAGAGGAAAGAACAGACCACTACCCCATAAGGGTTTGCTATGTTGGGATGTGTGGAGCCGGCAGACGCAGCAATTGCAGAATAGCTGTAAACCACAACTTGTCCAGCATCCTTTTGAGGGTGAATGAAGAAATTAAGATTGGCTCAGAAATAGTGAAGATTTGTTTTCTAGAACAAATGTTGCTGAGGCCTTTAGACTGTCTGATTAATTAATGATTATTGCCTGAAAGCAGAATAAGGGGAGGTTATATCTGCATCACTAAAACTGTCTTGGAATGCTAAAGATGAGGCATTGCTTGAGTTACTAGCTAGGCACAAGTATTGGGAAGATATAAATGCATGTTGTTATATTTCTTTATTACCGTTAACTATTTGAGAACTATCATTTCTCTAGGCAGCAAGCACCTGCGAGTGTTTTACCTGAGCTGGCTGGTGTGTTTTTTTTTTTTCATGTTTAAATGAAATGATTGTTTTGTTTTGTCTGAAGAATGACTGGCATCAGATTAAAAGTAATTTTATTTGAATGTTCATGTGTGTATTGTTTTGTGTGTCTGTGGTGAAGTATGTCAGGGTTCCCCCCAAGGACCATGCCGGCCATATTTGTCGTCATGAGGGCCACATACAATTGGGAAAAGATTTAAATCTGAACGAAAAGTATATCTACGAGCTTCACAATATAACAAACAAAACGTGAACGTTGCGGCTATGGAGCTTTCTTCAGCATATACATACATACATTAGACATTACTATACAAATGCGGGCCGCGTTAGCGCAGTGAATACGAGACTCGCTTTCAAATCCAGCTGCGACTAGCAGCCCACAGCCGGTGTTCGAAACCGGGTGGTTCCCAGAGTTCACCCAACCTCTAGGAGTAAATGAAGGAATGTCGCTGTAGCTACAGTTACCTGCGACACAGGCGGACAGTTACTTATCAGCTGTCCATACTGGTGGCAGAGCACTTATGGTTTATAATCGTGTGCAATCACGCTGGTTCTCATCTCCTGACTTTACCTTTACCTTTAATACTACACACAGACACAATATCACTTTGTATCTCGTGGCAGCTAGGTCGATATCGAGATGATACTGGTAGGGCCAGGAAAATAAAAACTAATAACTAACAAGTCTTTTAATGAAACTTGTTGCAGAATATTTCCTGTGTGCTTGCAGAGGGCCGCATACAGCCAGATTAGAGGATTTAAATGCATTTCTTATTTGCGACATACAGTATTCAATTTAGCTTCAAGTTATTTGTGAGAGAATGAAAGAAAACACAGAGTGCACAAAATATTGCCTGACATATTTGGCTGTTCCACGTCAGGTGCATACTACAGTAACAATTGATTAACATGAAGCAAATAAATTATTTGAATTAAAACACGAAATCGACTACATTAAAAAAAAAACTTTCATCAGATTAAATGCAAGTTGAAGAGCACGTCCTTTTGACATAATTCTGGACTAAACCAGTTTACAGCGGTCGCTTCCACAAATGTCATTCTACAGGTGGCTGAAGTGTAATTTGGAATGCATCTTCCTTGTTCACAGTGTGTTCAGAATTCAAAATATAGGGCACAAATTTTAATCAGTTGTTACTGTAGTATGCACCTGAAGAGATACAGCAAAATATGCTAGGCAATAAATTATGCAATCGGGTGTTTGTCTTGTTTGTTCAAATTCACAATGTGGAAAACATTGCTTTGAATGTATGAAAATTTGGTTACGATGCTGCCACTGCTGTTAACAAATATTTACATGATGAGGCCTCAATCTCTTCCACGGTGAAACTCTTGTACTGCTGTTT